GTGAGTTTCATAAGGCATAGCATATAAATAACTCAGCTTATAATATCACTGCGCATTTATGGGGATGGACTGGGCACGGATGACTTCAATGAATCATTGCTATCAGCGGCACTTGAAAGAGTGTTTGATAGGATTGTTTGCGCTCCTGTCAAATACATCTCGGCCGCGCAGTGGATGAAGTGTTTTCCCGTATCGCACAACATGGGATAGCCCCGCCGTTGGAGTTTGATCCATTCTGTGTCCACATGCATCTTTGGGGTCTATGTCTCTGGTTACCTTGATCTCTCAACGCTCTTGCAACCACTCCCAAAAGTGCTCATGGCTCATACAAAGCTCTAAAGCTCTGAAATTTGATGACGGACGGATAAAAACGTTGACCTTCGAATATATGCTTACCTACGCAATAATAATAAAGCAGTATGAACGAAGCAAAATTGAAAATGAGACATTCTTACGTTTTTAATGTTCCTGCGTTACATCTTTAGTTTGACGAGCCCTTGCTGCCCAGTAAAACAACTCGGGCCATCTCACATTGATACTTTATTAGCGATTCAGTGCGGCTGCCGGTCCAAGTTTAGCGGCACTGTACCGTGACCCAGCTGTGGGCCAGCCCGTGGCCCACTGACGGCCTGTGACGTCACACCAGTGCCGCTCGGCCGCCGCGGGAACCTCGTGGCCTCTGGGGCGGCGTAGCGGCGGCAGCGGCGACGGCGGCGGCGGTCAACCCGCAGTAGGGTGCTGGGCAGCGGGCCGTGCGGCGGTGCGGCGCGGTGCGGATTGGAGGGGATGTGACCCACGTCACTGGGAGGTCGCAGTGTGGAGGACTGAGCACGGAGGACTGACGTCGACAGGACTGAGACTGACGTCTGTTGGAGAATTGACGCGTCGAGCGGAAACTTAACACCGGAAGGAGGATTGACGTAGAGCCGAAAATTCACGTCGGACAGACCACGGGATAAGGTGAAGCTTACGTCGAACTGTATCAGAGAACTGGGCATTGAATGAAGAACTGAGATTTAGTGAGGACCTATTGCATAGTGAAGTTCAATCTCCAGAAACTGAGAGCAACTGCCGGTCCTTGGCTAACGGACTACCACAAACTTTGCAAACTGTGAACCGAAAACTGTGGACTCTGTGAACTGTGAGGTGTGAATTGAAATTGGCCATAATGAGGGAGCTGGGCCCGCCGCTCCAGTCAGCGGCCATGACAATGCTCTGGGTGAACGGTGGCAACGAAATGGGCGAAACACGAGCGTGTAAAACCCAATCGCTCTACTATCCCAGCAACTCAGAGCTGACCAAACCCAGAGGCAAGGGTCTCAGGATCAGCATGCTCCAGGTAGGTCTGGTTGGCGGTAGAAATAAAGAGCGGCATCGCGTTTCACATTGTCATGGTGGTTAGTTTGTGTCCCACTCCCAGCGGTATTAGGTGTGGACATGGTATGTGGCTTATAGGCTTTATCGTTTCCCATGGTCTTACTCGTATTTTTTTCGATTATAGTCATATATTCTGCATTTATCATGATTAAATTCCCGTAGTCATCCTTGATGTAACATTGTATGGATGAAATCCAGCCAAATGCAGGTTAATGGGCATATGAAAAGATAAATGATACGCATTTGGGAACTACGGAGGCCAGCGTTGAACTAATTGATCAAAGGTCCATGAAGGAGACTGGTTTTGAAACTCGAAGCATGTGAAACATTTCCTAGTAAGTATGCCTTTCTTATGCTTGGGTACTGATTGTTCCTTTTTTAAACATTCATAGTGTAAAAGCAATTCCAGTGGCATTGTAATGTGCCGACACTCGACACTCGACAGCATACCACAGTGGGCACACTATTTTGGCTTTTTATTGACTTCTGTAGACTGTACGTACAGTAGCCTTTACATTCCGTATTTCCCATCCTCTCGGTGCTTCCACCTCAACCAGCTGCTTCCTCCTCAAATAACCCGGAAACCACCGATTCATGTTTCCCAAATAAAGCCAGCCGGTACATGGTTTCCCAAATAAAGCCAACCGCATCACCACCATTCAACACGTTCTCCATTTCAGAAACCACACCCCCGAGCCATAACTTTCGACTGCGACGCATTCCCTCCCTACTTGCTCGACCCACAACACACGACCGGGCGTTTCCCGGTTCCCGCGCCGACGCTGGCGACCCTGCGTGACCCACATCCGGCTCTGGAGAGGTCAGAGGTCACGGAACGCGCTGCCCCCGGGATGCCTATTGACGGCCGGGCCCGCCTGCCGACAGAGCGGCCTGGCATGACCAATGTGGCCTGGCCGGCTGAGGGCTGGATGGTGGGATTCTCTTTGTTTGGGAGGAAGGCAGAGGCCACTTGCATTGTGGCGAGTTTAGATACTTCTCCCACTTACGTATGGCATATATTGGTCATTACGTTTGTACCAAGATATCGCGAGTACCTACTTTGAATTTTCATCCGTCATATTTTGAATATTTTCAACACAATTATGGCTGATTAGGTGCACCAGCTCATTTCTTTATTTTCCGTTATCTCCTTGCCGTTAGATCTCTAGCGTTATTCATATTTTTTAGTAAAAAACAGACGAGCTTAAAATGACCACTTACAGGTCCTTCAGTGACTGCCGTCAGTTACTTTTTCGAGTTTTTTTTTAAGTTTGCCGGGTCAGTTCCTTAAAGGAAATAGTTCACTTTTTAACATGGGTTTTGAACTGGAATAGCAGTTCCGTAGCTTGGGCTGAGACGAGCATAAATCAGGAGCTTTTACAGCCCAACGATCACCCTAGGCAAAGATATTCTATTTCTCGTCCCGAAAAAGGTGTCTTGCGTTGAGGATGTGTGCCTTGCATATATTTCCATCCAGTATGAAAAGAGCATGGGTCCCGAAAATTCTTCAGAAAGTAGAGAAATTATCTACGAGAACTCTAGAGAAATTCTCGTACTGATCAATTAGGACATTCAGGGGAACATTATCAGATCGAGCAGATCGCCCAAATGCCGGTGGCTGCGATAATTTCTCTGTTTCTGAAGAATTTTCGGGACCCATGCTCTTTTCATACTGGATCGCGTGTGCCTTACAGAAACTGAAAAGTTCTTCCTATATCAAAATATAGAAAATAATCTTTTGTTATAAAAAGGTTTTATTTTCTTTGCTGATTATTTTGAACATAAAAAATCATAAATCCGTTGCAAAAAAATAATTTCGTGAAAGTGAACTATTTCCTTTAACAGTTGACTATAAGTGCTCACTACTTTTCCCAGAAGTATGTGAAACTGCATCTCAAACAATCCCACTCAATGATCGGAAGTTTAGCGGTGTGCCACTGAACCAAAAAGGTCGAACTGGTTGTCCCAGCTTAGCCGGTCGGTGGTGGCCGTGAGGCCCCGTCTGGTATTGTTTAGCTGGCGGCGGCGCAGTGCCCAGGAGTATTTGTTGATTTGGGTCGAAACAAACAGTCGGCGTTTCGTTGAAGCTCACGGAGCACACCTCTCAGTGTGACCTATATTTGGTGGTTCGTCGAACGGATGTAAGATTTCACCGTTACGTGGCAGTGACATTCTGTAGCCATGCGTGGTTTTGTAGTTTCCGACCCAGACATTTTTTAATGTTTTGCACTTCAGAATAGAGACGCGTGCCATATTTTTGTGCATTTTCATAGCATGAGAGATAGGTGTGACGTGTGTATGACAGACTGCATAACATACCCTTGCTTAGGTTTGGCAAATTTATGATAGATCTAACAGCAATAGAAACTGGTCTTTTTCTCCTTCGTGAGCAAAGCTGGTCATCCTAATCAACATGCGAATTGCGAGCATTATTCGTTGTCGTAGCTCTGTCAACAGGATTTTCAGCGGGCTCATTATATTTGCAAATCACGTGGGTGCTCCCTGAATAAAATCACTCACTGAACCATCTGCCTGGGTGTTCCGAGTCCTATTCAAATGTTGGCGGAGCGGTTCTCCTCTGTTGTTGTCGGCTCGACTGGCTCTGGCTTTGTCTCTGTGACCCGATTTTATGTATTACAGCCTGCCCGCCCGCCCACTTGACCCACCGCGCGCTCCAAACGCCCGCCCTCCCGCCTGTCCGCCTGTCCGCCCGTATGCATCCCGTTGTCCGCCCGCCTGTTCGCCTGCCCGCCTACCTGTCCGCCTCCCGCCCGTCGAATTGTTTGCCGACCTCGCTGTGTGTCCTGTATTCGGGTCCCGCTTCTATGCAGAGCGGCGACCAAATGGGACGGCCAGTCAGTACAGGTGAACTGAAGCTCCGCGCTGGGTCATTGGCCAACCTGCTGGGTGTGGCTGACCCTTCACTCCCATCACTCCGAGTTGCTGAGTGACCAAACTTCCCGGGCGTGCCCACTGCCCAGCCTCCGGCCAACAGTCTGTTCTTTTCGGAGAGCCTCGTCACGCGATGCCGAGCTGGCTGCCTGTGTGCCAGCTGTCGACATCATTCCAGAGAGCCTGCAGCGCTCTGCAGTTATAGGTCAGCGGCCTGAGCCGCGTACCAGCGCCAGATGCGGGCAGCGAAAATCTCCGATAAAAGCGTGGCACCATGCGGGTAAACCACCGCCCGACCTTGATCAACTGATAGTCGTGTACCTACTGATACTGACTGTGCCAGCTGATGTGTGTCTCTGCGAATGGCACCCGCTGTCTGCCCGCCCCGGACGGAAAGTGGTCGCTGCTGAACCTGCGACCCCCCCCCCCCACCCCCCGCTCCTTGTGTCCCAGCGCCAGGAAAACTCAGACCAACACAAATGACTAGCCCCTGCAGCGGGATGACGTCATCTATAAGCCTCTGTCCTCCGGTTCATGTGCCAGTTTCCCTACACAGAGTCGAGCTGTGCGGTGTCTGTTTCAGTGTTGTTCTGACTGACCAGGGCTGTGTTCGATCCGGGCTCAGCGAGCGCGGTGTTTGTGTTTGTGAGAACTCGCCGGTGTTTGTGAGGGCCCGGCGCCGTTTGTGAGAGCCCGACGGTGACGCGGCGATGTCTCTGTGTATCTCACAGGCCGAGCTGCGCAGTGTGCTCACCAAGAAGCGCGGCGATGACGTCGATGACGATTCGGGGCTGCCGAGGTCACCTGCCACACCGCCCGACGGACCGCTGCACACGGCAAAGGTGAGGCTGCGGACAGCAGAGAGGGGATGCTCGGAATTCGGATGGTGGGGAACTCCTCGGATATGGGGTTGGATAGCCCGGGACACCTCCTCCGATTCAAGGGGCTTTGCTAAGTGGTAGCCGCTCTATTATTTTCCTAGAATAGGCATTAGATTACATATGTATCTCCATCCGGCGTTGCGATGTTCTGTGTACGGAACTGCCAAGAGCAAAGTGTTAAAACAATCTAGGCATATCACTCGTAATGGATTTTTACTGTCATCGCTCTGTACAAGTTGTTACCCACTCATAATGCATGTAAAAACAAGTCACTATCTTGATCTGATACATCCAGTGCTTTCTTACCACCATGCCAGCTGGTATTGGACACGAAAGGCTAAGTGGTGCACGCGCTTCACCTTGATAATTGTTCAGTCGGGAGAACGGCTAACGCCCCGTGACCGAGTTCCGAAACCGAGACACGCTTTCTCGGACGTGACAGCTTGTGGTGGATGATCATAATTACTCGTGAAACTTACTCGATTTGGTCCTAGCTACTCGATGCAAACAGGCGCTTTATGTTGTCTGAAATTCCTCGAGCGTAGCTGCCAAGATGTAGGCGCGCACTGCGCAGCATTACCGAAAGTACAGTTTTCCCGTCGTTTACATTTCCGAACCTTTAAAGAGTGAACGGTGACTAAGTGCATATGTAGGATAGTACCACGGTAGAAGGATAGGTGCGGGAGAGGAAGAGGTGAGAGTAGGATTGAAGAGGGAGATGTGAAGGGGATGAGAACCGCAAACCGTGTACAACAAAACACTCTCTGGCCGTTCAGGGAGCGCCGTGTCGTGTCAGGGGGAGCGGGGGTATGCGCGAGCTGCCCAGAGAGGTGCGTCACCACAGGGTGCGACGTGGAGTGATCATATCTCCAGCCTGGTGCCAGGATAGTGGAGGCTGCGGACACGAGGGATTGGTCGCGCTGGTAGATTGAGATGACAGGATATCACAGCTTTTCATTCAGTTTCCGCTTCATTTTTCTTGTGATATGGACTGTTGTTGGATTATATTGCAACGTAGCAACAATAGCTATAAAAGGCTGCGTTTATTTAATGCCTTTTGTATCTACGTTATTAGGAACCAGATATTTTTCTCTTTCACTATTGTTGTACCTACCTTCAATAGATCAGCTGATAGGGGCGCTGAATGATGAAATTAGCCCGGTTCGTCCCTACACGCAATATTCATCCCGTCCAAGCAATGTTTTCTACGACTACAACTAGGTATAAATCAGGTGCGCAATATCATTAGTACCGTCACATAAATACTGTTGCGTGTATAATCACAGTCGTTGTATCATTTCCTTCTGCAACCTGGCCTGATTTGTCCCAGCACTTAGTGGTAATTGGCCGAAAAGGAGCGCCGAGCGGGTGCCCGGCTACCGTGTCTCGTATGATAACAGCAATTACCAGTCTGTGCCGGCGCCGCTAGTCAGTCGGTGACACACCAGGGAAATAAGCTAAAATTAGAGCGCTCTATTTATTGCTTCCGCTACTTCACCGTCTCCCATAGGGTCCGTGTTGAGCTGGTGTCGAGGCTCTAAAAATGACGCCGATTTTTGCACCCTTCTCACGAAAACCGCTCGGACCGCCTGGAAACTAATTGTTCCGCTCTAAAAATTTCATGATCGACGGGGAAATGAACGAGGAAAAGATTGGTCCTGAAATAATTTTGAACTCCCTGTAGAACTTATCGAAATATGGCTGCAAACTAGGAGCATGTCAAAATCGACAAAACAATACAAATAAACTTACTGGGATTTTTTTTATTTTCCATGCATCTGTGTATAAAATCAGTCTCTTTTTCGGAAAGATCATCTTCTGTTTAATAAATAATTCTACAATTGCAATCGAGAAAAAAAAACATTTCTGCTGTGACAGCAGTTTTGGCATTGTGCCAGTTGTGTGGCGTGCGCCACGGTATATAGAGAACTAGGTAAAACCGGTTTGCCGCTTCAACACTAAGGTATTTTGACCACTATTTTCAGCTGACCTCTGCAGTCCAAAAAAGAAAACTATGCCACAGATTTCAATATATTTTATTATTCAAATATATATATTTTGATAAATGTACAGAGAGCACAGCTTATCAAAATCTGTAAAGTAACAACGAAAATAAATTTTTGTCCAACTCCGCCATTTCGAAAATAATGGTTCTAAGGTTTTAGGGGTTGGTCAGGGACAACATTATTTTTCTACTCTTAAAATTTAAAATCAAAAATGAAAAAGTAATATCATGGGCAAAAATTGTTTCCTTGAATTACAAAATCAGCATAGTGCTGAACTTCTCAGCTTACCGGACCTGCCATTGTTCTACCACAAATTATCGATTAATATCAGTAATGTGGGGTTCTAAATATGGTCAGAAAACATCAAATTTAAATTATCTTTCAGAATCTGTGCATTATGTTGCCTTTTAAATGTTAAAAACTGAATTTAGATGATGTTGAATACACAGCCGCCATTGGTGTCCTTGGTCACCCTGTTCCACTAAATGTAGTATTTTTCAAAAACTAGCCTATGGCGGTGTCTAAAACATTTACTAAAATTTACAAAATTGTCTACACTATTAGAAATCAGAAAGTTTAAAGCTCTATGACCTCTGGCATTTTGACAAATTACTTCCGAGTCTCGAACTTAGATTTTTGAGAACCCAACATTTCTGAACGAAATCATTGCATCTTGGTCAAACTGTCAATCATATGCTTTTAAAAGTTCTTTATTATAACCAAAATTTAATTTTCTTTCCAGATATGTATATTTATTTGCAATTTAGAAGGTGTTAATTATATTTTTTGGTCTAGAATGAATTACCATTCATGCTGCTGAAGTTTACACTATGGAAATTAACGAAATATTACTAAAAAAACAAGCCTATGGCGGTGTCTATTTCAAGATGAATAATATACAAAATTCAATTGTCTATTTGTTGATATAAGTTGTAAAGCATGATGACCTCTGGCATTTACGAGGTTTGGTGTTGAAAACTGCAGACCATGATTATCACCCACAGTTGCGCACAGTTTTCTGTACTGCTTTCGCTAGCAAACGCCAGTGCTTGCATTTGATTGGTTTAATGGCGTTTCTTTTGCTAATTGAGAACACTCTTCAGTTTTATTTTGGTTTCTGTGTATTTTGTTGATTTTGTTGTCGGATTTGGTGGTATTAGGCAAGGTATTAGGCATTATTCAGTCACACAGTTCCCGTGGTATTATGGTAAGCAATTTTAATGTTTTATTGTGATAGGCTACGTGTGCCAGATTGGGTGATTTTGTTTTAAGTTTTTGTTCTATGGTTTAGTTGAGATGCAAATCACCAGTGCAGAGTTTGTTGCAAGGTCAAGGCGTACCTACATTGTTTGTTTTTATTGATTTGTCATGCCTCAATTACCAATCCTTCGAAGTATGTAGTCTATCGCAAGTCTTTATAAACCTAATACCTAGACTCATTTTGTGCATCTGCTCTCTCTTTGCGCGCTTCCATGGTGTTCTCCCTCTCGATTCCATCCTCTTCTTCTCCGCGTATCAACCCCCTGCTTCGGATGGCCATTGAGGTAGGTGCCTTTGGAGCTTGCAGCAATGAGCGTTAGAATTAAATTACCAGAAATAAATGATGCTGTGAAAATTAATCAACAAAAGCTGACAAGGATTAGCTATTAAAATATTATATCACTAAAAAAGTATATTTGTGTAGCTATCATGAGATACATGTCCTGCCCCTCTGGCCAATCCTGGTCAATCCTGCTCCGGGTTGTACAGACAACTACCCTATGTGGGAAGCCCGAAGCTCCCCCAGGAGTATGGCCATAATAGCTGGGTTTGGTGAGTGTCACAGGACTGATGCTGATGCTGATGATGTGGTCGGGCTGTCACCTTTGCATCGGTAGCCCTATAAACACAGGTCGGGGGGGAGGGTATTAGTAGGATAAGCTTAGGATGTTGGTTAAGCCCTTTCCTCGTCACCCGCCTTTGTCACCAGTTTTCTCCTCAGCCTCCAGAGCTGGTAGAGTCCATCCTTGTTCTGCTCCATCTCTTTTCTATCATCGTTAAAGAGGAATGCTTCCAGTACCTCGTTGGGTTCTTCCACGTATGGCCTCAGTAGAGCTAGTTTTCATTGTCTTTCTTGTGTTAGCTTGGTACACTCTAGCATAAAATGGACTTCATTTCCTTCTTCTTTTCCACAGAGCTTAATCACCGTTATCACCTCATCCACCGTCTGCTCAATGTGTGAGGAATACGGAGACAAAGGCTGCTTGATAATTAAACAAGTTCTGTGCTTTCTCAGGAAGTCAGTACTTTGTTAGATATGTGATGAGTTTAACGTAGACAATTGCAGTCTTATGTGTCGTTGAAACTAAAAGTCTTGGAAACATAATAAGCTTAGCATAACATTCTGCCATTGTGTTCATGTGGCTGGCTTTGTCGTTTCTATTGTAGGTACTAGGTATGCTTTGTGGATTCTGAGTTTTGACCATATTATCTTCCACCAGGCTCATTGCTGGCAGTGGTTCAGGAGACAGTCGTTCGATTCCAGCTGTAGAACGTCACCTGCAGGAAGTAGCATTATGATGGCCAGCCACGTGGCGCGTGTATCCAGCCACATTGTCCAGAAACCATCACATCATCTCCAGGTCAGTAACTGTGTGACTGTGGACCAGTCCAAGGCGTCCACAGACCACAAGGTCATGCTGTATCGTACCACGTCACTAGGTCAGTGACGTAATGGCATTGTGTGACCCGTCGCCGCGTCCTTATAAGGACCACTCACCTATAGGTGGGTGGCTCGGGAGAACTTTTTGTGTTGCCGGGATGGGATGTCTGCTAAATGCGGGTGCCGCTGCAAGTGTCGTGACGTATGATGGGTCTCAGGTTCGGATTTCGATTTGTCGAGTGAGATGTGTGTACAGGCTAATGTAATGTTATTATAGCTGAGTGTGCGACAGGAAACGTTAATCATGAGCTGTGAGTCGTTGTCGCCGTGGCTCGTAGTGGTATTTGACGACCGTCGTGACCTGTGACGGTCACCGTGACTGCTATGTGATGGTCGCCGCGGCTGGCATATGACGGCCGCCGTGACTTCTATAACGGCCTTCGTGACTGAAACGTGACGGTCGTCGTGATGTGCCGCGACTCGCTGCTTTACAGGTCACTGGTCGCGGGTGCTCGAGCTGACTGTGTCTTCAACGGCTCCACGGTGACCAGCGCCGCCACCGCCGAGACCATCCGATTCCTGAAATGATAATGGCCGTACACGAACAAGAGGCTCTATGCATCTAGTTGCGAGTCAAGCGCCATGCTCAGAGGCGTCATCCGAAGAAGGCCGCACAGTGCACTTTAGGCTGAGCTCTGGTGTAGTGCGCGCTGACGGATAGGATGAAATCACGGGCCGGCCATCAGATTTCAGTGCGGGGATCAAGATGGTCGGAGCCGACGTGGCTTGGTTGATGGTGTGTCAGGGTCAGGGGTGGAGAAATAGGCCGAGTTGGGGTTGCACGGGCGCAGCAAATCCGCCGCCGCCCTAGCGGTGACCTTGACCGCCGCCGTCTGGTGCGGCTCCAAGGCCAAGCCGGCGCAGCCGGCGTGGAATTGGGAAGGCTCGTGCTACCCCAACTCGGCACAATTGTCCACCCCTGGTCAGGGTTGATTGAAAGTGGAGGCGAGACGACCGGATGTGAAGGATACACCGATACGGGTCTCGACGTCGTCTCGCAATTTGTGCTATGTAATATGACGGTTATGCCGTGGTATCATTCACTCTCGATGCGCTAATATGTAGTAAATAGGACAGAGACTGGAATTAATATTATTATATTTGGATGTAAGGGCCAGGTTTTGGCCAGCGCTATATTAGAAATCGTGAGCGTGCTAGTTGCAATCAATCGCGCGCTTCTTGCTGAGCATCTGTGAGCGAAAAAATACTTTCTCTGGAACGTTCGTCGTAAAATATGTGTATCTTTGGAATAAGTTGTCAGAACATGAATGCATTTTTGGTGTCCACTGCAGCTGCTGTTCTGGAACAGAAACATACCGAGATCGGCTGTGTATGTACTATGTACGCTGTGGCAAAATCAAGCAGCCGGGCCATGAGTCAAAAGCGATATGTGAATTAAAGTTGATATATTTCACTATTTTAAACAACTAAACGCCTGCGATCACTGGAAAGTAAATAAACAATAGATACCCATGTGGCTGTCTTGTCTGGCGTGATCCGAGACTCTCTCTCTCTCTCAGTCTCTCTCTCTCTCTCTCTCTCTCTCTCTCTCTCTCTCTCTCTCTCTCTCTCTCTCTCTCTCTCTCTCTCTCTCTCTCTCTCTCTCTCTCTCTCTCTCTCTCTCCCCCTCTCTCTCTCTCTCTCTCTCTCTCTCTCTCTCTCTCTCTCTCTCTCACTGTTGTTGCTGACGCACAAAAGGACAACACGGCCGAATCGCGACGATGGAGAGCACGGAACGATGCTGGTGACTGGCGGACCAGCGAAAACAGGAAAGGAGATGAATAGCTCTAGCTCCCGTCTGCGCGCGGAAGGGCGATGATTGGCGCGGCTCGCAGACTCCATTGGCTCATCAGACTGTTGTTGGTTTTCTCCCTCCCCTCCCACAGGCGTAGCCAGGTAGCTAAGTTGTGCGCGGAAGCGGGCGGCCAGAGCGGTGCTAGGTGTCGCCCTCCCAGCCACCGGGCAGTGCAGCTGGACGTGCCCCGGATGGTCCGCCTCTGATCTCGGCACACTCGGCGGAGTGCGGCCGGACACTCCATGGAGTTGCATAGCGTCGATAGGCCGTATGGTGTCGCTGTCGTAATTATAAACCCGTAAGTAGAAGGTTGAAGCAAGATATAGAATGCTTCTCTTTACATTTAATATCGCAAAGCACAGCTTTATGCGCTGGCTAGTGGCTACGATATGTGCGTGTCGGTTGCGGCTGTGATCATCGAAGAAATATATGATTTATAAACGTTTCTTGATCATAGAATGATAAAACATAGCAATATTTGCCTGTTGCGAAGAAAACTCCTATACTGCCGCTCTATCGTCCGGAATTATTCGTGTTTGATTACGGCAATTCCGCCACTCTATCAGCTGATTTTTGTTTCCGAGTCACGTGACCAACCGGTGTCTCCCTGGCGTGCGCGGTGCTGCGTGGTCGTTGGGACGGAGTTGTGAGTATTTTCGGTGTTTTATATGGTTGATGGCCATTTGAACCAGCTTTATATTATTTCCTACCAAATTCTGCATCAAATTATTGCTTTGAAAGACCATTGAAACCCCTTATCTCTTCATGAAACACGATCATATTCATCGTCGACGAAAATGGCGCGGAACTCAATGTGCGTTTCGATCGAAATAAATCGTAAATTAAATAATATTCGATGATAAGTATCATATTCTAGTGACACATTTTGATAACATAAGGCATAAACTTTGCAAGTAAGTCAACATTGGATAATTGGATGCTTATTTTGCTCACATATCCTGGTAGTAGTCAAATGGCTCAATTGTTAGATAAATGTAAATATATGTTTTGGCTTGATGTTTGCTGTGAAACCACCCAGCCACTTGCTGGTTGAGTGGTTTTCTGATAATTACCTGATAATCATTTCTCCTTTTCCTTAAAAGAAACTAAAATTATTTTCAAAGTAACCCATTTTTAGGAAAGGCGGCTTGCTCATTGACATTTCATGTGCTTTTGTTATTGCTGGCAGTATTTTGATACAATAATGCAATATGAATTTTTTGCAATAATAAAACCTAAGACAAACTTAGTCAATGCGTCAATCAAACACCCAACAAAGATTGTGAGTCCTTGTGACGTGAAGTAGAATATTCTATGAATGTGTTTTATAGAATATGCCAAATTTTAAATTAATTTATTATTTGATACTGATAGCTGAGCATGTGAATTATGCCACAATATAATTTCATTTTCTGGTTTTGAAATAGCCGGCAGTATTTTACTTCTACAAATGTAATATACATGGAATACATGTTGTTAGGTTATGTTAAAAGTTTAATAACAGCCAACAGAAGGGGCTGTTTCAGCAGATAATGTTTGTACCTTATGCATTACCTTTCTTTTCTGCAGGACCATGCTTCCGCTGGGTGGTCGACATTTGCCTCCTGAAGAAGTTGAGCAACATGAAGACCACCAGATGAGGTGTCTGCAGTTCATGTGGAACTCTGCAGACTACAAGTGTTATGCCAACCACAACCAAAGTGCAGTGATCATGGAGGCATGAACCTCATGACAACACTTCAGATTTGCAGTTGTACCAAAGTGTGATTCAAACCACCTGTGGCATCTCACTCAATGCGTGAACAGTGTGATCATTGTGCAGTGTTCAGCTGCAACTAAGACATTTATTAGTGACCTGTTTTGCAATTAGCCACCAAAAGTATTTTTGGGCTGGCTGCTGTAATTTGTTGTGCACTGCGCAATGTGGTAGTGTTTTGTCACTTGTCAAGTTGTCAGTTGTGCATGTTGCATGTTTCTCTCCCCTCGGCCCTCATTATCAGTTAAAGGGACCATCCCACCTTAACATTAGTTTTGAGTTGAGATAGCCAAGTTTGCGGCCAGGCTCAGAAACCACCATTTATCCTGGTCGCAACCCCCGCAGCTTTATGGTGTTCAAGAAATTTCTTCCCTTTACTTGCAGGGTGGGACCAGCTTAGTCCCTATCTCTTAACCATTAGCGGTTTGTTGATGACGTCAGCAGTCATTTCAACGCCCGCCATTCCTTGAACCCGAGTTTTGCTGACCTTGAGCTCCCTTTTTTATCAACGTGAAATCCGTCGTCGGCGCTGAGAAAGCCTATTGCTTTTCATTTTAATTTGAATATTAGAAGATACCCACCACTGGAACTTGGACTGATATTATACCAAGGCCGAAGATGATCAAGCTGCCTGCTATATCTGGAGCTTGGTGTTCAACTTCAACATGGAATAAAAAACAAAATATCAAAGCAAACTGGATATGGTACTGCAAGTTAAAGTCCAAAGAAATTTGAAGAGCTGACAATTGACATTAATTCTTTTCCTGCAAGGTTTCCATATGGAGATCACAGTCACACCATGAAGAAATATTTTTGATGTTAACAGTTGAAAGGGGATTTATCTTCCAGTTTTGACGAAAGACTCTGCTGACTGTCTTTGGAAAAGGATGTCGGCATGAGGTGCAATTGTGCTTGTGAAGTGGTTATAACTGGTCTTTTCACAGTATTAAATTAAATGTGCCATTGCAGCCAAGTGTGTTATCATGTAAGGTAAAATCAAAACTACAATGTTGGTTTTACGAGCATTGAGAAGGCTGGTAGGTAACACCTGCCTGTGCTCGTAAATCATGCTGCCAGAGTATTCTAAATTAATTTTATCATACACTTTTGTTGTCCAGAATGGTTGCACTATTGTTTGGTATCATATTATTCCATGTAAATATGGTAGTGTAAAGTCCGACCAACATGTTACCAGATTTGAAGCTGTTACGTTACCTAAGTACCTGTTTTTTACTGGCGTGGTGAATGTCACCTGGATTTTGTTTTGAGGTGCAGACCTAGTAACTCTGACTACATGGGTTTGAAGCTATTATCTATTCTGTTTTTACTGGCCTGGTGAATGGCGACTGATGTTGTCCGTGGATGGCACTGAAACAAATTTTGAGTGTTTTGTACAGTGTTTTAATACAATGCTGAGGGCTGAAAGTTGTCTTGTTTAGAGTGGTGAAAGTTCAGGATATGCCAGCCACCATGGTGGGTCAGAGTTAAATGTGTTGCAGTCAGTTCGGCTTCGGCAAGCGCCAAGCACACGGATGGGCATACGCATCAAGACCTGCTCTGCCATACTTTCAGCCAATTTTACCTAGGTAAGTCTTTTCTTTTTTCTGCCAAAAGCTATGACATTGTGAATTTCAGCACTGTGGCCTGTGTGTAGCTTTCAGGAAAGCAATTCTAAATAAAGCTCTGATAAAGTGCAAAATCAGCAATGCAGCCCTCTATTACATTTTCTACAACATCTTACTTGTTCCTTGCATGGAGAGAAAAATGCAATGTTATGAATTCGTTTATTCACATAATTTGACAAGCATGCAGTTACCTGCTACTATCACTGCACAAAACAGAGCAGAAAACATCAGTTGATCAAACACAAGACATAACAGAAGTTTACAACATAGGGCTGCCGAACCTGCTTCCTCCCACCACAGTTGATGCCATTTCCTAGCCTGGCTTGATGTGAGCACTGAATAGCTGCTTTGTCTAATTACAGCTCACTACCATTCAACTTAAACTACTCTCTTTAAAGTAAGAGTGAGAGCGTTCAGTGTTCATAGCAGCTCGACAGACGACAGACAACAAACATCTTGACAAACCAACCAGTATTTGATTTGGCTAATGATTTATGTGCTTGTTGTATCATGGCCAAACTACTTTAACAGCAATAATCCCTGTTTCATCTTGATCTTGCTTTTATTTCCATTTGAACTCAGATCTTGAAACAATCATCTGAAGTGATATCAGATACTGGCTTCTGTTTCTCTTGAAAGCAAGTTAAAACAACAATGATAAACTAAGGCAGGAGATGTGAGTTGTGGCAGTAGATTTTTGATTCAACATATGTCAACCTTATATTGCTTGAGACCTCTGTCACAGACAAACAAATATTTATAGTTTTTTGATAGTTTGGATTCTTGGCTTGATTTAGCAGATCAGCTGTGAACCTTGACTTTGAAATCACATAAATGTCATGGTACCCGAACGAATCCTCGCATGACATTTCTTCGTAGCACAATTTTTCGTCCGCATTTCTTCGTCTACAAATCTTCGTCGGTGCATTTCTTTGTCCCTCAATGCTTACTCTTGCATATATTTGCGTTGAAGAAGAAATGCGAGCCGATTTTCATATACCCTGGTGCGAGACAAAGTAATGCGATAGGTACGAATAAATGCCCTGACGAAGATTTGCAGACGAAGAATTGCGATACGAAGAAATGCCATAAGAATTGTCCTGGAATCCTTTATTGGCCATCATATATTGACCTTGATAAGATAAACGCATCATTCGCGCATTATTTGTCGCACTTTGATAGGTACCAAACTATTGCTTCCAAATGCCGACGTAAAGAAAACCTTTATGTGACGTCATAGAAACAGCGGATTTCCCAAAAAGTAAACAAAAATAAAAGTCTTATATCTCGAAAACGG